TTCGCAAATACGACAAATTTCCGGTAGCGCGCCGCTCGCGCAGGCCGGCCTGCCAGGAGCCGGGCTTCTGTCCGCCGCTCAGTTACACCTATAATCTCAAAAAATCTGCCCAGTCACGCTGCGTGTATATATGCGTGCATGCGCGCCAGCCAGTAATCCATAAATACAACCTGCACGCCTGGTTTGGGGGCGGCTCGTTGTCTGACAGGTATAGCTATTGCCGAGCTCGCCAGTGGACCTCACGGGTGAGCTCTTGCTACCTGCCCACGTCACGCCTGACCACGCTGAGCGAGGCATGACAAAAAAAAATTGCCACACGGACTTCGATCTTCACGTTTTCTGCGCTGCGTTCGTTATATCTAACATTATATTAACATTATTATTGTTATGTTTAGCATCGCATATTTGCAGGAGGCAATGTCCTCGCTTCGTAACTTGGAGCTTGCCCAATCCAAGTTAGAGATTCCATCATTCTCCTCATCCATAGCACAGCAGTGCCAGATGCGTCCTCAGAGATTACACCTATCCCACCCCACCCGCGTAACACGCCCCTTCCCGCACAAATGCACCGGGTTCTCGTGAGGCTGCTTCGAGAAAAAAATACGCCTGAGCCGGCAAAAACTTGAGTGGGAAACACAACGAGTGAACCATGGCATGCCAAAAAAGTCCTCTTCATCGAACCAGTTTAGCTTAATTCGCCTGCGCCCGCACCGGAACCTGCTCGTTAGGGTTCGAGGACGACCTCGCCGCCATTGTTGAACACTGCGGAACGCTGCACAGCGAAATCACGTGAGCTCGACTGATCGCTCGCTCGAGCAGGGTTCCGCTGCCGACATTAACATACCACGCTTGTTATATTACCTGTGGCAGTGTTACTCGCAGCAAACGTTTCCATGCAAACCACCAGAAATAATGCACTCGTCTGCGATGATAATTAGCGCTATATTAGGTAGAGCTGAGAGGTCTATGTCCCCCAGGGTACAGCCGGAACGTACCCTGGGTACGGTCCGGTATACAGGAACGTACCCTGGACTATCTAATATGCCCGGCGCAGCCGGACCGTACTCGCCGGGACTCCATTAACGAGGTCTAGGGAGTCGCCTACGCCTACTCCCTAACCCTAACCCTAACCATATCAAATAGTTACAACTTACCAGGATACGTTCCGGTAGTACCTGGGGACACTAGACCCTATGAGCTTAGGTAAAGGTGGGATATGAAATGTAGACGGTACGAATCCAAGGCATCAAATGCCAAACCAAAACATACCAGACAGTATATTATGCAAATACTACATAGGTAGGTTGCAGCAGCCAGTGCCTATGACTAGGAGATATTGGAATTGAACTCTTAAGTCATGAAATAGAATCCATAACAGGAGCATTATCTGGTGGACAAGCATAACAACAAAACCACAAAAACAGCAACAACAACAATCAATAACAACAGGTAGCAGCAGCAGCAACAATAACAACAGCAGTATCAGCAACAAACAAAACAAACAACAACAACAACAACAACAACAACAACAACAACACAACGGCCAGCAGCAGCAGCAGCAGGCACACGCCTCATTTATTAACAGATTCTATAATATTATGGATAACATACCTAGCAACCATCTGGGAGTGGCAGCTATTTCTGGCATTTTTTGAACACAGCTCCAGTATTTTGTACTCATAGATCAAGGAAAACTTCTTTTCTATCTCTTTTCTCTATTGTGACAATCTGTTCCTTGTCAACTGCCACGCCATGCGGCTGTTAGGCTTACCAAAACTAGGATGGTAACTATGTACGGTTAACCTGCATACGGCACTATAAAGCAATAATCATCATGCTAGTAAATGCTTTACACCATATGACGTGGATATATGCCGATCATTTTCTTTTTTTCAATCGATTTCGATAGTATAAGATTTGCAAGTATAAGTATCAGAAAACATATATATATGATAATCAAGATATAGTAACATTGCTATTAAATAAATTCTATTAATAATATCTCTACGTTATTCTGCAGTATTCCACATTATTTTTGGCCCAAACCTCAGGTGTTCCCTACATGATTATAATTTATATCCTTACGCAGGAGGGCTTTTTATAGCAGTCTCATCATTGGAGGGTTTTAGCATGATTTCAATCTAGCTGATTATATAGGGCAGATCAGTGAAAAGTAATGTTTTCTACCTCTGCGTTATTCTCTGGCTATAGGGACACATAGACTATAATAAACAATATTTCTACTCAAAGCGTGATTGCGCACACAGATTTTAAGCCTGTATGCATACCATCAAGAGAACATAATAGAGATATATATCTCTAATGGAGACATAATAACTCTAATTATGTACTCTTGATACCATAGATTACGTGCTTCATTAGACTACTCTTCCTTACTCCATATGCACGACCTTTTTTTTTTACAAACTTTTCAAGTTAGCTTTCCATAGCCTGCCTAATACATAGGGAGTACAGCGGCTGAGTCTTTTCTAAGTATTTCCTGGCTATTAATCAACATAAACAATTCATTTTTATTGCTCATATCGTCAATATACTATTATTATATAATTTATCAGACAGTCAATTAGCCGATGTTTTGTTAACTATAAAAAACTGCTGCTATGTTAACATATGTCACTCCAGCCATGCTACAGACTAAACACATACACATACTAGATATACGGAACTCACACACATGCCATGTTCCACACTAAATCTATTATACATACATTATCATCTATATTACTAATTTTTATCTCATGCATTTAGCGCGGTATCCGGCACAGCACCTCCAATATTTAGTTACTGTACATTTCGTTCCTTTACCTGCCAGTAAAATCCATACCTCAGGTGTACATGATTACCTGTGAGGCGCTCGATGCACTGCAGAATGGTCATGTAAAACACCTACGTCTCTAATAATGACCCAAATAAAGATGCAGTTATCGTGAAGCCTCCAGCACGTACATATATGCGTTGTTAGCACGACGCACGAGCACACGCACGCACGCACGCACGCACACAATATTCACACACACACACGCACGGCGCCAGCAACACACACACACCGCACGCACGCACGCACGCACGCACGCACGCACAACACCACACACACACACGCCACGCACACACACACACACACACACACACACGCACACACACGTGATAATGCATATATTATATAGAAATGAATGTATGCAGATAACAAATAAATGTAATCACCACCATCTAAGAAACTAAGATGCAGTGCAAATTACGCATCATGAGCACACGCACGTAGTCAGAAATGGATGCGCGCACGCCACGCAATCGCACACACACAACCATGAATTACAACACAACAGACAGCCGCTTATTGCACGCTCCCGAAAACTTACCGTCCAAATCATCTCTCTTACAGCCCACGCCAAACAGAAACGCGGAGCAATCAGTAAACCCAAACGCTTCCCCTCGCCAAGATATTTACCTCTTCGGCAATACGTCCAAATTTTCGTTAGCGCGCGTCGCGCAGGCCGGCCCTGCCCAGGCGAGCCGGGCTTTCTGTCGACCCACTCAGTTACACCTATAATCTCAAAAACATCGCCCAGGTCACGCTGCGTATATATGCCGTGCATGCGCGCCAGCCAGTAATCCATAAATACAACCTGCACGCTGTTTGCGGCGGCTCGTTGTCTGACATGGTATAGCTATTCTCGAGCTCGCCAGTGAGATCCTCACCGAGGTAAGAGCTCTTGCTACCTGCCCACGTCACGCCGACCACGGCTGAGCGAGTGGCGCCGACAAAAATTTGCCACACGGACTTGCGATCCGGCACGTTTTCTGAAAAACGCTGACGTTCGTATTATCTAACATCTATATTACAATTATTATTGTATATGTTTAGCATCGCATATTTTGCAGCGAGCGCAATGGTCCTCGTTAGACTGCCGACTTCATATCTCAGATTAACTGCGAGCATTCTCGGGGTTTTCCATGCAAGCGTGGCGGTTGGATGACGCAATCCAGCGGAAATGGGTCATACATAAACAAGATATTTCTCGTCATTTTGGAAACCACGTAAAAACACGTGCGTGCACGATGCTTAAATAGGCCAATCCTCTTACATCGCTTTCTTTTTTGCTGTTTAGGTTTGCAGCTGATTGTCGATTAGTGCTGCAAGTACCAAGCTGCATCATGCTGGTCCACCATACATACACACGTGCAAAAACATCTTTCTTTGCTTTTCAGGCACAAACTCAAAATTATCCAACTGTTGTTATTAGAGCTCTTCATCATTCCTTGCTCAAACTCTGGCATCGTATTCAGTAGGTATTACGGTCCTGGTATATATGATGTTATTCTTTTTTATAACTATATCAAATTGCTGAGTGTTATCCAATAACCCCAGAAAAGTTGCAACAAGTGTAATGGTTAGAATATATTGTTGATAGCAGCCACTATTTTGCTGATTGTATGTTGATAGTAAATACTTTTTCACTTTTCACTGAAACCTAAATCATTTGTTTTGCAGCTTAATGCCCTTTCTGATACCGTACTATTATTTTAATACCCGCGCAACACTTCGAGACACTTCAAGATACGTAACGATGCTTTAAGACACGTAGAGATGCCTCAAGACACTTTAAGATGCTGGGAGATGCTTCGACGGTTGTTTAGATTACGTCGGACTCGTTACACCAAAGGAGATGATGCCATCACACAACATACAGTCGAGGGCTTCCGGAAGGACCAGACACTGGCGCATATCATCCCTTACGACTAGCTGCCAACTCCTGCCGGCCGCACCGATACCGAGTAACAACAACGGATTCGACTATCCGCTTTAGTTTACGCACCAAACCCACCAGAAACAGTATGTAGTACTGAGTATACGAGTACAAAAACGCTCCCCGGGTACGCCTGCACGAAGGAAACGTACGAGAATACGCGGGAAAAGAAGAAGAGGAGAGACAGAGAGCGAAGGAAGAGGCGACGGAAACGTCTGCCGACCGCGCACTCACCGACTATGACGACACCCGTAGTCTGCGGCTTGCAGCCAAGGTCATTCTCGATCCTTTTGTCGGCCTTCATGCTCGCTGGTTTCGCTCGGCCTTAGCTTCTTCCTGCGTCGCACGGCTCAGTGCGAGCTCCAGATGGTACCTGTAAGTAACAAACGCACCGCACATGTTGAGAATACCAACAGAAATAAAGGGCGCACGCCGCGCAGCAAACAGCCCCGGCTGGCCACGACGGCCCATCCGCCTTCCACGCTGCAATCGATCGCAACATTGGGAAATTTGATCGGCATGTTCCAATTAGGTAGCTACATCACATGGCACTTTAAACTGGACCCCCGGTGTTCTGGCGTCTAAAACGGTACCTACCGAGTTAGACCAGAAACCTATCGACATACGAAGTATTACACCGTATGCGTGATATGTTGATACCGGTATTCCTGGTGAGACTAATTCGTGGAGGGACCGTGTTAGGCATTAAATAAAACCAGAACAGGCTCTTACGATTCTGCAGTCTAGATGAACTATAATTATGGCCTTATAAAATTTACTCTGCGTGTCCGGGCATCAACAGAAAACCAGTTTATAGTCACTAACAATGCCTATCAAGTCTAGAGAAAATCTGGGACCGTGACTAAATATCGTCCATAATATTTTTTTTTTTCAAAGCGTTCAAAGATTACTTCCTGACGAAGAATGGATGTGAACATCTTAAAGATACAGTGCAAATAGCATGCGCACAACCACTAAATGAACTTCATATATAATATTTTTCTTATTATCAACTTTGAAGGTGTGCTGTCAGTAGGTTCTATCATTGGCCATGCTGGAACTCTCTGCGTGTGACTTATGGGTAAAGTAGAAGTGTGATGCGGGAGATTCGTAAACGTATAAGCCAATACACGTGGCACTTCCACTAATTAAAAAACTCATTTTCCTGCACTACGTCATCGCAATGCTGTTTATCAGGTCTCTGCTAGCTCTGATACAAGTGCACGTCATAGTATGATTTCAACTGTGCTTCATTAATTAGTGGGATTCATGTGTGTGAGTATGCCAAGTACCATTTTAAAACACAAGCTTACCAATTTTTGCAGCGTCATTTCTCCTGATACCTTTATTATGTATGATGCTAACGTTTTGGCGGGTAAATGTTTGATGTTTGAACTTAAATAAATGATGAGTCACTATGAGTGGACTAAACTGAACACCTAATCTGACTTCAAAGGTACATACAGCTGCACCAACAAGGCTGATCGATGCAAACAATGACTCACGATTACCGTGCCAGTCTATGTGACTTTATTGTCGGTCTATGCCATTAAAATTGCCTTACTCAGGCATGATGCTGTGCCTTATCCGCGTCCTTCCCTCGAATCAAGGACAAGCAATAAAACGGCCAATAAATTTACTGCTAGAAGACTTCCTCTTTACCATTTTGCAGATGTGCTACATTCATAAGATCAAGATACTCTATTGCACCTTTATGCCCACATACGTAACTGGCAGCTTGCCAATCCAAGTAGAGATTCCATCATTCTCCTCATCCATAGCACAGCAGTGCCAGATGCGATCCTCAGAGATTACACCTATCCCACCCCACCCGCGTAACACGCCCCTTCCCGCACAATGCACCGGGTTCTCGTGAAGGCTGTTCGAGAAAAAAATACGCCTGAGCCGGCAAAAACTTGAGTGGGAAACACCAACGAGTGAACCATGGCATGCAAAAAAGTCCTCTTCATCGAACCAGTTTAGCTAATTCGCCTGCCGCCCGCACCGGGAACCTGCTCGTTAGGGTTCGAGGACGACGTCGCCGCCATTGTTGAACACTGCGGAACGCTGCACAGCGAAATCACGTGAGCTCGACTGATCGCTCGCTCGAGCAGGGTTCCCTGCCGACATTAAATACCACCGCTTGTTATATTACCTGTGGCAGTGTTACTCGCAGCCAAACGTTTCCATGCAAACCACCAGAAATAATGCACTCGTCTGCGATGATAATTAGCGCTATATTAGGTAGAGCTGAGAGGGTCTATGTCCCCCAGGGTACAGCCGGAACGTACCCTGGGTACGGTCCGGTATACAGGAACGTACCCTGGTACTATCTAATATGCCCGGCCGGACCGTACCTCGCCAACTCCATTAACGAGTCTAGGGAGTCGCCTACGCCTACTCCCTAACCCTAACCCTAACCATATCAAATAGTTACCAACTTACCAGGATACGTTCCGGTAGTACCCTGGGGGACATAGACCCTATGAGCTTAGGTAAAGGTGGATATGAAATGTAGACGGTACGATCCCAAGGCATCAAATGCAAACCAAAACATACAGACAGTATATTATGCAAATACTACATAGGTAGGTTGCAGCAGCCAGTGCCTAGACTAGGAGATATTGAATTGAACTCTAAGTCATGAAATAGAATCCTAACAGAGCATTATCTGGTGGACCAGCATAACAACAACACCCACAAAAACAGCAACAACAACAATAATAACAACAGTAGCAGCAGCAGCAACAATAACAACAGCAGTATCAGCAACAACAACAACAACAACAACAGCAGCAGCAGCAGCAGCAGCAACGCTCATTTATTAACAGATTCTATAATATTATGGATAACATACCTAGCAACCATCTGGGAGTGGCAGCTATTTCTGGCATTTTTTGAACACAGCTCAGTATTTTGTACTCATAGATCAAGGAAAACTTCTTTTCTATCTCTTTTCTCTATTGTGACAATCTGTTCCTTGTCAACTGCCAGGCCATGCCGCTGTTAGCTTACCAAAACTAGGATGGTAACTATGTACGAGTAACCTGCATACGGCACTATAAAGCAATACTATCATGCTAGTAAATTGCTTTACCACCATATTTACTGTGGATATAACCCGATTCATTTTCTGTTTCAATCGATTTCGATAGTATAAGATTTGCAAGTATAATATCAGGAACATATATATATGATAATAAAGATATAGTAACATTGCTATTAAATAAATTCTATTAATAATATCAGGAGTAAGATAATATAGATTATCTTACTCCTGATAATATCTCTACGTTATTCTGCAGTATTCCACATTATTTTTGGCCAAACCTCAGGTGTTCCCTACATGATTATAATTTATATCCTTACGCAGGAGGGCTTTTTATACGAGCTCTCATCATTGGAGGGTTTAGCATGATTTCAATCTAGCTGATTATATAGGCAGATCAGTGAAAAGTAATGTTTCTACCTCTGCGTTATTCTCTGGCTTATAGGGACACATAGCTATAATAAAACAATATTCTACCTCAAAGCGTGATTGGCACACAGATTTTAAGCCTGTATGCATACCATCAAGAGAACATAATAGAGATATATATCTCTAATGGAGACATAATAACTCTATTATGTACTCTTGATACCATAGATTACGTGCTTCATTAGACTACTCTTCCTTACTCCATATGCACGACCTTTTTTTTTTACAAACTTTTCAAGTTAGCTTTCCATAGCCTGCTAATACATAGGAGTACACGCGTGAGTCTTTTCTAAGTATTTCCTGGCTATTAATCAACATAAACAATTCATTTTTATTGCCTCATATCGTCAATATACTATTATTATATAATTTATCAGACAGTCAATTAGCCGATGTTTTTGTTAACTATAAAAACTGCTGCTATGTTAACATATGTCACTCAGCCATGCTACAGACTAAACACATACACATACTAGATATACGGAACTCATACATGCCCATGTTCCACACTAAATCTATATTATACATACATTATCATCTATATTTACTAATTTTTATCTCCATGCATTAGCGCGGTATCCGGCACAGCACCTACAATATTTGTTACTGTACATTCGTTCCTTTACCTGCCAGTAAAATCCATACCTCATGCAGTGTACATGATTACCTGTGAGGCGTGATGCACTGAAGAATGTCATGTAAAACACTTACGCTCTAATAATGACCCAAATAAGATGCAGTTATCGTGAAGCCTCCCAGCACGTACATATTATGCGTTGTTAGCACGACGCACGAGCACACGCACGCACGCACGCACGCACCAATATTCACACACACACACGCCACGCGAGCGCCACAACCACACACACGCACGCACGCACGCACGGCACGCACGCACGCACAACACCACACACACACACGCCACGCACACACACACACACACACACACCACACGCACACACACGTGATAATGCATATTATATAGCAAATGAATGTAATGCAGATAAAAATAAATGTAATCACGCACATCTAGAACTAAGATGCATTCAAATTACGCATCATGAGCATACGCATGTAGTCGAAAATGGATGCGCGCACGCACGCACGCACACACATAACCATGAATAACACAACAACAGACAGCACGCTTATTGCACGCTCCGAAAACTTACCGTCCAAATCATCTCTCATTAACACCCACTGCAAAACAGCACGCGGAGCAATCAGTAACCCAACCTTCCCTCGCCAAGATAATACCTCTTCGCAATACGCCAAATTTTCGGTAGCGCGGCGGTCGCGCAGGCCGGCCTGCCAGGAGCCGGGCTTCTGTCCGCCACTCAGTTAACACCTATAATCTCAAAAAATCTGCCAGTCACGCTGCGTGTATATATGCGTGCATGCGCGCCAGCCAGTAATCCATAAATACAACCTGCACGCTGGTTTGGGGCGGCTCGTTGTCTGACAGGTATAGCTATTGTCGAGCTCGCCAGTGGGACCTCACCGGGTAAGAGCTCTTGCTACCTGCCCACGTCACGCGGACCACGCTGAGCGATGGCGCGACAAAAAAAATTGCCACACGGGACTTCGATCGGCACGTTTTCTGCGCTGCGGTTCGTATATATCTAACATTATATTAATTATTATTGTATATGTTTAGCATCGCATATTTGCAGGAGGCAATGTCCTCGCTTGGACTGTGACTTCATATCTCGATAACTGGAGCATTCTGGGGTTTCCATGCAGGCGTGGCGGGATGATCGACGCATCCAGGGAGTGTCCATACATGCCCATGTTCCACACTAAATCTATATTATACATACATTATCATCTATATTTACTAAGTTTTATCTCATGCACATTTAGCGCAGTATCCGGCACAGCACGCTCCAATATTT